AAAACGTTTGAGAGTTTCTCACATTTAAATTTTAATAACATAGAAAACCATTGCAATCCTTTTTTCAGAATTGTTAAATTGAATATAAAATTCCTAAAATGAGCGCCAAATATTGCTTCATGTAAATGTCAACGCCTACATTCGTAAAACGATACGCACTAAATGTGGTAAATGTTTTCGGTGCATCCCGTCGTCCTAGTGTACGGTGCATGGTGCATGGTGCAGCGCAATGTACTCACAGTTCGGAAAATAGACAACAAAGTTTATCCGAGGGCGTGCGCTTGTTTACCGTTTTTCCACGAATTGGCCATTTGTCTTAATGATAACTCGTGCGGGGGCATAAATGGTACGTTTGTGTGGGTATTGTCCTTTCGGTTTGGAATTTTATTCAGTCGTTGGTAAGTGCATTCGAGTGTGCATTTTTTCGGATGAGCATGTGGTGCAAAATACTTCTGGCGGTCACATAAACATGCCGCATTAAATTTCTGTAATATTATATTTGTAAGGATGAATTTATAAAGCAATTAGAGCTTTTCAGCTTTCCCATAAAAGAGAAGTAATTAAGTGCAGTTAAGCATTTTTTAACAGAGAGTATATGAAAAGATTTTAAATAGAATTCCGAGAACTAAAGTTAATTTTTCTATATAACTTATATCATAAATTAAAATAAAAAAAATTATTTATAAAAAATTGGGTTTATATATAACATCTGATGAGTATTTTCTCATCAGATACTTAAGCATATATAATTATTGAGTTTCCACAGGTCTTTGCTTCTTTCAGTACTCGATATTATACAGATTCATTGCAATATTTATATCATACATTTTATACATTAATCCCAATGTAAGAAAAATACACTGTATTACTTTAATAATCTGAACAGAATATTTTTTTACTTTGTTCTTGATTCTATTTCTGTTTTCGAGTTTATTTTATATGCTTATAAACAAATTTATAGCTACTTTAATAATTTAATATTCCTTTAACAAAACGTTTCATATATGGGTCATTCGTTTAAAAGTAGAATGGATTTCAAAAATAAATTAACTTCATCACCTTCGATTTGGATAAAATTTTTTTATGAGGTTGTTTTTTAAAAAAGAGAAGTTTTGTAAGAATGTTTGAGGGTAAAATTTATTTTATAGCATGCAATCGTACAATATTTAATCAAAATAATATTTCTCAGTAATCTGAATATACTCTACTCCCGTATCATTTTCTTTAACAGTGTGTGTTAAACGTTCTAGCAACTATAAACATACTGAAGTCTCTGAAGAAAATATTAATTTTCTGTTTTTCTTTGCATATTTTTAGGTAGAAATTAAAATATTTTGTAAATGATGAGATGGAACTAAAGGGTGGAAGAAAGTTCAAAACAGTAGGTTCTTTGTCCAAATGAGGGCTGAGAATTTCTAAAGCGGTTCCATGCCAAGATTTAATATTGTTAACATTATTATGACTCTAGCTATCAGACTGCTTTGGTCGGTTGGTTGGTTGCAGTGGCAGATTAGCAGATATCTTTCCGCTGTCTATAATTAGCAATTTTTCCACATTCCTCGCAAGAAACCCTAAGTTACAAAAAGAGGAAAAAACAATCCATCCTGGTAAATTGAGGTAATTTAACGGATCTTTCGTTCTTACCGATGTACAGTCTGCCAAGCTGTCGAAAAATACTCGTACTTTTCCAAAAATCCGTGAAAAGGCTTTATTGTTTTTCTTTTCTGCAAGTCTTCATAGCTTCTACAGTAAGTATTAAAAAGAAGGCAAAGCTTCTTTTCGTGGCTCCAATGATCATAAAAAACTATTATATTCATCGGAAAATGCCATATGACGTTTCATTTAATATTGGCAAGTAGAAGTAAGTAGTTTTCTTAATGATTTCCAGAGGAACATAAAAAACTTCCATTGCGTGGCTTCCTATACAACAGTACCCTAAGAGAATTGCTGTAAGCTTTGCACTATTCACCCGTTACCTTTTAATGAGTTTCCAAGATCTGATTTTGTTATTTGAACCTGATTTTGTTCTTAACTGGGAAGTTAACGCTCCTTTTAATATTGACAAGATAAACAAAGTAGAAGTAAGTATTGTTCTAAACTATCTTCAGTGGAATATAAGCCGATATTCTTAGGAATACATGTATGGAAACATTATGGTGAGCCAAACTGTCTGCTTTTTCATTCAGTTCAGCGTTCGTATGTCCGACGACCCAGTTATGTGTTATATCAATTAACTGGTTTAAATTTTGATTTTATAATGAAGGATTAAGCACTTTAATTATTGCTTGGCTAGCAATAAAAATGGTAACACCACATCTGTCATTGATGTGACTTACAATTAGACGACATACCTCTGCAATCGCTACAACTTCAGCCTGAAAAACCGTGTTTCATTAGGTAGCCGTAGGGAGTGGCACCTACTGTTGCGACAATGTGCCTTCCTACCGAGGTGAAAATTCGTAAGTTTCGATTTTAAATGGGTTCCATTCAAAACCGGTATACATCGCTAGTCAAAATAATCATCCATTTTATCGATCACTTCTTTATTTGAACTAAATGCCTTTCTCTGCAGTATCGTTACAAGGTTTGCTAGGTGAAGTAGTGGTGTAGTGAAGTAATTTTGCGTTATATTCATATCCAGAATTAATAAAATTTCTTCTAAATAATATTATTTTATTAAAATATTATTTTAATTTTTAATTTTTATTTTTTTATGTTAAATGCATTGATAATTTATTTTCTACAAATATAAATGTCTCAAGATTTTCTCGGAATTTAAATGACTCAAGATTTTTCATTCATAGTAAAATTCACGGAAATGAAAACAAACTCCTACATAAAATTTCCGGCAGATAATAAGAAACTTTTCCTCTGCAAGTCGATGTTGTGATTTTAAAGTAAAATCTTTGCTACACAAAGAGATTTCAGGAAACCGACAAAAAATTTAGTAAAAATACAATAAAAAATAATTATTCCATTAAAATTGTAAAAAAGATACTCAAGTGACTTAATTCACTTTTAAAAGCTTTACCGACAGTTTAAATTGTCA